CCCAAAACCCCAAAACCCCAAAACCCCAAAACCCCAAAACCCCAAAACCCCATTTTTATCTGTTATTATGGAATAAATTTTAATACTAAAAATTTAGCAAAATATAATGGAATACCAAGGAGCCTGAAGGAACAGTTTTAAGATCAACCGCAGTTACTATCCTAATGAAAATTCAGCCTACGGAACCAGTGTTAATGAAAAAGAGAAAACTGACTCAAAAGCAGATAAATACTTGAAAGATGCCATTACGAGGATGAGCCGAAAGACTAGAAGACTCAGTGATTACACAAATATTTCGCAAAAATAAATGTAACTTGACTAAGCCTCATAATTTAGACAAGACAAATCATAACTCAAGTGTGACTAGCCAGACAAGTGAATCTGCGTATGCAACTAACACTGATAAGAAGAATTTCCTGGATATTTCCCTCACATCTGAGGGAGATGCCAGCATTGAGCAATTGCAAAAACAGCAAGAAGAGCTACAAAAGATGCAGAATATGATACAGCAAAAGATGTCAACTCTTCAAACTGCTATAAACTCAAGAGCTCACAAAGGAGGGCAGAGGCTGTGTTCAAGATCAAGGACTATTATAAAAGATGCAGCAATGTATGAAGATGAGCCGAACGAAAAGCCACCAGTCCCTCAAAAGATGGAAGATATGGCAATGACAATCTCAGATTATACTTCTCAACCTATTACTGAGGCTATGACTCAATCAATGGTCCAAAACTCTGGTGAGAAGTTCAATGAAGAAGATAGTGTTCCTCTTGAACCGATGTCAAGACCTTCATCTTCTCTTCATAAATCAAGAAGGAGCAGGAAGGATAGGTATAATGAGAAGAGCCAAGATCGAATCAATTTTGATAGCCTCTACAGAAAGTCTGAGAAAAAGTCTCTCATTGGAGCTATCCCTGAAAATAAAAATTTGAATTCAGCTACTAAGCCTACCCAACATAAGATATTGACTAAATCTGGATCAAATATGTGCAGCAAAGTTAGGCCGAGTAAATTTGTGGAGAAAGAGAGTACATTGCATATACCAAAATGTATTCAGGTGGAAAAGGCAGCTACTCTGATCAACAAGAGAACCCTAAATGCCTTGAAAAAAATCAGGCCGATTCAGTCCAGTATTCAAGTTATCAGAGGCTTTGTCAAAATTCTGAAATTTTATAACCCCAAAATAAAAAATTTTAATGAGGAAGATACTTGGATGCGAGTCTGCTTTTCACTGATTCATAATTCTAATACTGTACTACGAGAGATCAAGCTCTTGAGTTTGAAATGTACTACTTACCCAGAGATGCCTAAAGTGTTGGAGCTTATAGCCAACAAGATCCTTGGAAAGAAAGAAAAGAACGTGCCTGCATGTTCGTCTTCTTTCCAAAAAGAATGACAGCCCTTCACCAGATTGCTCCAAAGTTTGGTGAATTATTACAAGAGCAAGCAAAGGACTGAAAGGAGCAAGTCCAATCATTCAGCGATCCGGACGAACAGGAGCTCAGCCTCTAAGAAATTATCTACGCCCACTGGGAAGAAACTAAAGGCTAGCAAAAAGAAAGATAGTATCTCCCCAAGTATAGATTCCGAGCAAAAACAACAGTAAGTAAACTTAATTATTTTCCGTAGTGAACTTAGAAGAAAGCGGATCCAAGATCAGCATAACTTTAAGAACAAGACGACAACTGACTTGTTCAGCATGATACTCAACACAGAAGGAGAGGCTGAGACTCCGTCATTTTTGAAATCTAATAGAAGGAGTATCAACAACATATGTATGAGTGAGAAGAAGAAGTTGGAGAAAGAAAATACCAAAACTCATAGAAGATTCAACACCACCCAAAAATTACCAAACAAGAAGGAAATAACTCAGTCATGTATCAATCTACGGACTTGTGAAGTGGAGACGCCTCAGAAACAGCCAGAGAAATTCCTGAGCCCACAGAAAATGCAGAGGTAGGATTATCAGGAATTATCATTTATAGAACCCCAGCAAGCATGCATAAAGATCTCTCTAATAGACTTTCTAGACCACTTCTCAACACATTGTAAGTACACATTAGAAGAGGCGTTCTAAATTTCTAGAAATCTGGGTGTCTTCAACATCAGTGAGACCGAGGAGGAAGGAAGGGAAGATGACTCCAGCTCCCAACAAATCCCTTCTAACATTATTGAAAAGATTGCCAAGCGACACCTTGCTCGCAGAAATAATGGAATTATCGGCAAATCAAGGGATAAAGCTAAGAAGGCTAGTAAAGAGGAGCATTCCTTATCTTTTGGAGCTACTAATCCTAGTAATCAGAATATTTTCCACGATGATTTAAACGATTCTAATTCAACACCAAGGAAAGAAGCCTTAATGCAAGAGACTCATCCTGATAAGCTAAATATGAAAATATCTAAAAATTGAGAAGCCAACATGTTTGAACAGAACCAATCTGAAACTAGTGAAGAAGAAGAACCAAGACAACTAAAAGATAGCTTCATTAATCTTGATACCCAAAGAGGGCAAGCTGAGTTGTATGAGGAGCAGGCATCCTTCGATGAAAGCCCACCTGTTTGAGAACACAAGGATTATGTAATCATTAAGCCTCAGACTGATGAAAGGAGGATGATAGCACTCCCAAAGAATAACGAGCCTGTGAATATCTCCGAAATGTTGTCTAGGTCATTTATATTTGATAATCCTTCTGACCTGAATATGTCGATCAACACAGACAGATTTATGATGGAAGGAGCTAGTGAGTGAAAGGAGATCGACTTCAACCCTCACAATAGGTTAAATATCTCTACTGATTTTGGAAGATACACTCATCTAAAGCATTCAGACCAGAAAGCATATAATCCTTTCAAGGATAGGCAGAAAAGTGTTTTAGAAGCAATGGAAAAAGAGCATTTAAAAATAGAAACTCTCAAAAGCAGAAGGACTTCAGCTTAGGAGATTCAGACCTAAATAAATTTTAACTGTTTCAAGCATTCTCGATGAAAAGGGGTTTTGGGGTTTTGGGGTTTTGGGGTTTTGGGGTTTTGGGGTTTTGGGG